ACACACAGATCCAGACCCCGCAGCTGGGCCCATCTCAGGTAAGGACAGTTCAGTGCATGGATGGTGGTTGATTATCTACTGAGCATCTGTCACATGCCAGTCTCATTGGTGCCAACATTACAAACGTGGAAAAACACAGAGCTGGTCTTGAGAAGCCAACACTGGAATGGAGAAGACATACACGAATTGGACATGCTCTGAGGAGGGGTCATGGAGGAGCAGGAGCCAGTAGGCACAAAGTCTGAGTGGGGACAGGCTGCAGGGAGATGGCTCAGGATGGCAGCCAGCGCCGTGCACTGGGTGAGCCGGGTGGAGTGGCCCAAAACAGGAAAGTGCCATGGCTGCTGGGATCAGTGAACCACGCCCTGCCCCATCAACGTACCAGAAGGAACGTTCAATGAACATGCAATTTGTGCATGTTTAGTTTTTCCTTCAGAATTGAAGGGCCGTTATTCATACTCCTCAGTTTCAATTCCAAAATCCTTCGGAAAACGGGAGTGAGATTCGATAAGTAAAATGCCACATATTACCATAAAATTCAGCTTTCGCCCTTGCAAATTACTTCAAGGGATCATACTTCGAGAGACATTTCCTTACATTTGCATGTGCTAGATGGACACACCTTGTTGCCAACACCCGAGCAACCCACTCTGATGTCACAGCAGTCATCTGGGCCAGCCCTGTGTGGAGCACGCTCCTCCGTGGAAGCCCTGAGCAGCAAGCCTCTGTCTGGATGTCTCTGATAACAGGGCACTCACTGCGCACCCAATCAGTCTGCCCTACTTGCAAATGCCTCCAGCAGGTAGAGCCTAGAGCATTGTTCGCCACAGTGGTGGCCTTCTCTCCTCTCCCGCTCTGTGTCCAGAGTGACACAGAGGTGCTGCCTGCAAGGACGGAACAGGACAGGGCACAGCGGCCAAGCCTTCCTGTGCTGGCTTGCACCGTCCTGGGTGGGGGAGTGTCTTCTGCGTCCTAGGATGGGAGACCCTGAGGTGTGAGCACAGCGTGGTTTCAGGAGAGACGTGAATGAAGTCTTTGAGAATGTGTTTCTATCCAGGAGTTGCTTTTGGGGCCATTAACCCAGTGACGTTGGGTATCAGAGAGAAGCTCAGGCCCTGGCCAGTCTCTCCCTTGCCATCAGACCTCCCTCGCGTGTGGCCTGTGGGTAAGGAGGGCCAGTCTGTGTACAGAAAAAACACCCCAACACATCTCCCAGACACAGTAGGGCAGAAAGTTTTTCCACGTTTCCCCTCCCGCAGTGATGCCCAGATGAATAATGCATACGCACGGCTGAAATGCAGCCTGGGTCCCAGAGGATGCTAGTGAGTTGTGAGGACGCAGAGCGACTTCCGATTCCAGACTCCAGTAGATCTTCAGACATCAGCTCACTCCATTTATGCACGGCTGGCTGCACGGATGTGTTTCATTTCTACTTTATTTGAGAGCAGTGAAAATAGTCAAGTTAATTTAAAATAAAGGGCCCCGTATCTGATTGCTACAGGTGTGGTGACACCTGTGCGCATACACCATGAACCAACTATGATGCAAAGTAACAACTGGAAAGATGCTTGATGGGCAGATGGGGACATGTCACTGCTTTCTTTTCCAGTTGGTTCCCTGCAGTCCGGGCTATGTCATGAGATCGGGTCTTCCAGCACGTGTGCCTTCCTCACCAGGCATGAGGATCATGACACCAGCACATCTGAAAAGGACACGGGTCACTTCGCTGGGCCTCAGCTCCCCTCTGCACCTCAGTTCTCCCTGTGGAGGGCTAAAGTCTCGGTAGAGCAGGAGGTGCACATTCATCCCTGGGCAGTCAATAGTCAGCAGTGAATATTTATGAGGTCTGAGTTCTTCTTGAGATTAATTACCTTCTCCTCAGAGAACAGGGAATGGAGGAAATTATATCCAGTCACGAGAAGGTTCCAATTTTGCTGTTTCATTCTCTGCAGTCGAGGTAGGACTCCCAGGAATGTGCTACGTGCTGCTTAATACCAGCGGCTCCCAACCCTCGACACGCTGGAGTCCACTGGGGGCTTTAAAAAGACACGCTGATGTCTGGGCCCCATCCAGAATCCCTGGGCGTGGGTTCTGGAAATCATTGTCTTTAAAAATTTTGGTTCAAACATACAGTCCGGCGTGAGAACCACGGTCCAGACAAAACTCCCTCGTCCGAGTCTGTGCACCATGGGGGCCAATTCCCACCAGGGCCACCAAGCTGCTTATCTCCCCACTTTCTTAATGAAACATGGACGTTCACTGGAGGGTGAAACAGGACTCCCCTCCAACCATTCGTTCCTCTAGCAGCCATTTGTACAAATGTCCTCCCAATATTTTGAGAAGAACACCATGGGAGTAATTCACAGTGCTGGAGGGAACAAGAGAAGGGCCTGTGGCCACTGTAGGAACTGGACACGTGGAAACTCCGTCTCTGCCATTGGCCCACGATGGCACATGTTTTAGTAGTTGATGGGGTCACGACAAACCTCTGTTTATTCAGGTCTTCCCTCATGTCCATCAGAAAGTCCCACCGATGCTGTCGTTCAGGCGCGTGGTGCACACCGCCGTCTGCCTCTTCTACCCGACCCGCACGCTTTCCTTTCTCACAGATGCATTTTTGTTTTTAATGCATCCATCCCCCTTTCACAGGGCTTTAGGGGAAGCCGGCTTCACTCTCAATCCCCAAAGTGGATGCTGGCTAGCAGAAGCCAGTCAGCAGATGGCATTCCTTTGGCAAGTATTTTGGTCTTCATGGATTCATGCCCTAAGCTGGCAAGTCAGGTGAAGGGGTGGCCGGTGTTCCCCTGGGCAGGAGACGCCCCTCCTCCCTGAACATTCTCTCACCTCTGCCAGGCATGCTGCACCCAGGAGCGGAGCCACCCTAAGCAAGATGCTAAGTCTCAGAACCCAGCAGGTGGAGAAATGAAAACCTTGTTATATGAAATAACAACAATAACATCCCTCATTGTTTACAGTCCTATGAATAAGAGGCACTCAGTAAGGAAAAAGCAATGTCACTAACATTACGCACATTTAAATATTCCAGAGATTTAAAATTGCTATTCTTGAGTTGGAATAAAAATCAAAGTTTTCCCATAGTGGAAAAAAACTAGTGAAACAAGCAAAAACAGAGATGAAAGATGAAAAAAAGAAACATAGTGGTGCTAATCAATCGAGAGCAATCAATCAAGGGCATTATTTATTGAGCATCTGAAGCATGTCAGGAGCTGCTCTAGTAACTTTCAAACTATTTCATTCTCTGGCACATGGGAGGCAGCATGTTTCAGGAGAAAAAACATGACTCTTAAGAAATTCTAAGCGTATGGTACACTGTTATATTTCCCTGCACAGAGGGGAAATACAACACAGAGAGGTCTCCCCACTTCTCTAATCCCTGTGTTGAAACAATGATTACTGCTGTCATCAGAACACGTTATTCGGAAATTTCACCTCATCCGGGGAGTGTTCTTTCATTTTGCCATCTAATGCCTCCAACCTATGTGGCCGAAGGTCATTGCACATTTGAATAAGTCCTTCAGATGAGGGATTCTATGTTTAGTATTTTCCCTTTCAACATGTGATGTTCTGTGATGGTTAAATGAATTGGATGCCTCAGATATAAATGTTCTGATACGACCATGAGTCAACCAGAATTCCAGAAAATGATGCCCAACTCAAGGAGAAGGTCACTGTGGCCTGGGGAAAAGGGGGAGGGGTGTGGACCTTCACTTTCTATGAACGTCCAGGTGTGACCCCGTCACGCAGACTCACAGACTTGAGTGTGCATTAGTCACAGGGATACTTCCTGCTCTGCACATGGCAGCACATCAAGGAGCCTTTATACATTTGACAGCCTCAAAGGGAAGTAAATAAGCACCCAGAAACGCTTCACATTCATACTATATATATATTATATATATATAGAATATATATATGTATATATATATATACATTATATATATATATATTTTTTTTTTAATGAAGTAGCTGTCTTTCGTTACTAAATTCACATTCTTGGAGTTATTGACGCTAGGCCAGGAATGAACCCACACCTTCTGTGTGGAGTTAGATCCCTTCTGTGATACATTGCTTCATTTATTTTCTGTCACTCTTTTTTCTAGCAGCGCCTATGCCCCATGAAATGATCCTACTGTTTACAACAACGGGGATCACAATACATTCTTCCTTATCCAGGCAGGTGACAAACATTCAAATCCGAGAGTGATTTATTTGCTGTCATTGAGAAGGGAAAGCAATTCAGACACACAAAGCATTTTATATTCTTCACTGGACCATTAAGTTTGAGAGGAGGGGCCATTAATTGCCTTAAAATATTACAGACTTCCAGGTAACTTCACGACACATTACGTTCATCCGTAACCTAGATGTCTGTCTCCTGTGACACCTCCTATGAGAAGTCTCATCACTTATCAGGAATTTGGCTGAAACATCTGTTGAGTCCCCAGATGGAAAGTGTTTTAGTCCTTTCATCACATTAAATATAAGCACAGATACAAACGTGGATACAAAAAGCTCTGTCCCACTGTCCTCCCCAAGAATGGCTAATGCTGCCTGCTGAGCTCATGCTTGGTGTGAAAGCTCATCTGACAAGGACACTCAGGGCAAATGCTCACCTTTTGAAGACTCCCATCTTCTGACATAAGTTGTTACACATATACTTAAATTTCCTGGGTTTCAGGTGTCCTGTGTCAGCGTGTGGTGAGAAGCGGGTGAGGTGCTGACTTACCCCCATTCTCTGAACTTCCATGAACGTGGCTCTTTGGAACGACTTCTCCCATGCGGCCAGCTCGCTGCCCAGCTCCACACTGAAGCGGTGGCTCCTCCCGTGGCCCACCATGACACTGAAGCAGCACGGCCTCTGGTCCTCTGTGTCAAAGTCGTGAAGACCCAGATACAGGTTTGCTTGCAACCAGCAGTTGTCCGCGAGCCAGACCTGAAAGACAGCATGGGTTGAAAGCACACAGAGCTGGGACGCAGAGCTGGAAACCACCGGCCGTCTACCGGAGATGGGGAGGGAGAGGCACTGGCTTTGCCCGGTGACCGTGACCTCTAGTCACATGTGTGCAGGCAAATCCAGGAGCATGTTGTCCTGCTCCCACATAGCTGGTGTGGAAATGAGCCTCACATAAATATTTACAATTGACTTATGTCTAACCCCCAAGTATCTGTAAGTGCTTTTCCCTTAAAATACTGACAATGACAACTTTTTTTCTGTTTAACTTTAAAAACAAATGTCTTAGGACTTTTGTGCTCATGTTTAGCATGAGACCAGCAAATGCTGAAAACAACAGCTTCACCTGCACCTGGGAGTCCCTGCAACATCATCAGGCTCTTCCTCGCTCTATGTTCATTGTCCTGGAATAAAATACTATCTCACACTGCCTCTGAAGCACGCAGGAGACTTAGTCCTCCAAGATGTCATTATGTTAACCCAAAGGCCTTGATGAATACAGTAAATATTGTAGAAATATGTTCAGGAGCAAAGGTCAAAGCAAGTTAACAGGCAAACAAAAAAGAACTGTCGTTCAGTTCTGGTTCATAATCCATCCAGAAGACACAAACTACAGCTCCTTGCAGACCAACCTGTAACCACTTCACAACTCTGGCCTCGGGACCCCGCGGTGCGCGGTGCAGCCTGGGGTCTGCCAAGGTCTTTTCCCTGAGCCTGTACCTGCTCATCTAGTGGTAGCCCAACGTCAGGATTCGCTCATCTCAAGGTCAGGGGTAGGACGACTGTGTTCCCAGTGGTCACCCTTGTCAGGACAACCGTGTGGAACAGGTGGAAATATGCAGAATCAGGACCTGCCTGATGTCTCTCTCTCTCTGTCGCTATTTATCTCTCTCTTTCTCTCTGTCTCTATCTCTCTCCCTCTCTATTTTTCTCTCTTATCTCTCTGTCTATATCTATCTCTTTCTCTGTCTCTCACTTTCTCTGTCTGTCTCTGTTTCTCTCTCACCTCTTTATCTTTCCATCTGTCTCTTTGTCTCTCTGTGTCTGTTTCTCTTTTCTCTCTCTGTCTGTATTATCTCTCTCGTTCCCTCTGTGTCTCTCTCTTTCTCTCTCTGTCTCTTTTTTCTCTCTGTCTTTCTGTCTCTCTCTTTGTCTCTGTCTCTGTTTCCCATCTCTCTGTCTATATTTATCTCTCTCTTTCTCTCTGTCTCTATCTCTCTCCCTCTCTATTTTTCTCTCTTATCTCTCTGTCTATATCTATCTCTTTCTCTGTCTCTCACTTTCTCTGTCTGTCTCTGTTTCTCTCTCACCTCTTTATCTTTCCATCTGTCTCTTTGTCTCTCTGTGTCTGTTTCTCTTTTCTCTCTCTGTCTGTATTATCTCTCTCGTTCCCTCTGTGTCTCTCTCTTTCTCTCTCTGTCTCTTTTTTCTCTCTGTCTTTCTGTCTCTCTCTTTGTCTCTGTCTCTGTTTCCCATCTCTCTGTCTATATTTATCTCTCTCATTCTCTCTGTCTCTCTCTCTTTGTCTTTCTGTCTCTGTGTCTCTCTCTTACCCCTCTGTCTCTGTCTATCTTTCTCTCTCTTTCTCGGTCTCTGTTTCTCTCTCTTCTCTCTCTCTCTGTGTCTCTGTTTTTCTGTCTGTCTCTCTCTCCACCATTTTCGTCTTCAGTTCACCTGTCCACTCAGTCACCCCATGCACAGCTCTGCACTGGGACATAGATAGCACTTCGATGTGGATTTTGCCTGCTCCAGTCTCCCCATAGTGAAGGAAAATGAGACAAGACACCTTGGTCCAGGTTTCTCAATGTCTGTGCAAAATGGGAGGTTTTCTTGCAGGTCGGCACACAGCGGCAGGAAGGAGCAGGAGCCTGCCCACGTGCTGAGTCTTCACGTTGTGATTTTGAGATAATTTAATTGACTTGTGCATCCAGCCAAGCAGGACACACCTGTTCACACTTACATTCAAAGTTTGTTCCCCAAATTCTCATGAACTCAGCAGTCAGCCAGATGGTTTTATTTGAAATGTATGCTTTCTATGCACACGTTTGAGGGAAAAATGACACTGACTTGTCCAGGGTGGACAAGTGGATTCTCCTGGCACCTCCACTCACTCTGCTGCCTCCGAGCCGACTCTGCAGGATTTCACCTCCTGTGCCTNCAATCCCCAAAGTGGATGCTGGCTAGCAAAAACCAGTCCGCAGATGGCATTTCTTTGGCAAGTATTTTGGTCTTCATGGATTCATGCCCTAAGCTGGCAAGTCAGGTGAAGGGGTGGCCGGTGTTCCCCTGGGCAGGAGACGCCCCTCCTCCCTGAACATTCTCTCACCTCTGCCAGGCATGCTGCACCCAGGAGCGGAGCCACCCTAAGCAAGATGCTAAGTCTCAGAACCCAGCAGGTGGAGAAATGAAAACCTTGTTATATGAAATAACAACAATAACATCCCTCATTGTTTACAGTCCTATGAATAAGAGATTTCTATTACTTGTAGCCAGAGTCAACCTATCAGATATAGATACGTTACATTTGTGTTTTTGTGTTACTGTTATGAAAGAGATCTCTTTTTTCCATTTTCTTTTTCTCCTTTCATTTTTTTACTGAAACATAATTGATTGTATATATCTGTGGGGTACAGCATTGAATACCAATAGTTTTGTGCAATATGCGATGCTCAAATCAGGGTAATTATCCATTTTAAATTCTAACAGGATATTGCTGATATAAACAAAAATTTAGATGAATTAAGATGGATAAAACATACAAAAATCTGGCACATTAAAAAACAATACGTATATGTGAATATATTTTTAAGAAAAAAGAAAAAAATTATGCTGGAATGTGTGAAAGAACAGTTTGAAGGATGCACAACATCATGTTGACGTTTGTACCTGAGAGAAGGCAGAGCCATGGAGAGCTTTTTATTCTGTCATGCCCACTCATGCTGACATTGGGTTTGGATAACTTTGGATAGTATTTGTAATACAGGTGCTATTTAACACCGCATCACTGAACATAACATTGAGACAGAGAAGGTCAGATGACAAGCACCGAGCTACTCATGGCTGACTTAGGGTTTTTCTGTTAAATGTATTGTCCCCACCGTAGGACACATTGAGAAAGTAGTGTGAAGGCATGTCACGAGTTTAAATCCAGAGATTGCGAAAGGTGCTAGGTTATCATTCAGAAATCCTTACAGAGAAGTGAGAGGCAAGCTAACGAACACAGAAAATAACAAACCACAGCCCACCGCACTCAGTAAGGAAAAAGCAATGTCACTAACATTACGCACATTTAAATATTCCAGAGATTTGTGAGAGGCAAGCTAACGAACACAGAAAATAACAAACCACAGCCCACTGCACTCAGTAAGGAAAAAGCAATGTCACTAACATTACGCACATTTAAATATTCCAGAGATTTAAAATTGCTATTCTTGAGTTGGAATAAAAATCAAAGTTTTCCCATAGTGGAAAAAAACTAGTGAAACAAGCAAAAACAGAGATGAAAGATGAAAAAAAGAAACATAGTGGTGCTAATCAATCGAGAGCAATCAATCAAGGGCATTATTTATTGAGCATCTGAAGCATGTCAGGAGCTGCTCTAGTAACTTTCAAACTATTTCATTCTCTGGCACATGGGAGGCAGCATGTTTCAGGAGAAAAAACATGACTCTTAAGAAATTCTAAGCGTATGGTACACTGTTATATTTCCCTGCACAGAGGGGAAATACAACACAGAGAGGTCTCCCCACTTCTCTAATCCCTGTGTTGAAACAATGATTACTGCTGTCATCAGAACACGTTATTCGGAAATTTCACCTCATCCGGGGAGTGTTCTTTCATTTTGCCATCTAATGCCTCCAACCTATGTGGCCGAAGGTCATTGCACATTTGAATAAGTCCTTCAGATGAGGGATTCTATGTTTAGTATTTTCCCTTTCAACATGTGATGTTCTGTGATGGTTAAATGAATTGGATGCCTCAGATATAAATGTTCTGATACGACCATGAGTCAACCAGAATTCCAGAAAATGATGCCCAACTCAAGGAGAAGGTCACTGTGGCCTGGGGAAAAGGGGGAGGGGTGTGGACCTTCACTTTCTATGAACGTCCAGGTGTGACCCCGTCACGCAGACTCACAGACTTGAGTGTGCATTAGTCACAGGGATACTTCCTGCTCTGCACATGGCAGCACATCAAGGAGCCTTTATACATTTGACAGCCTCAAAGGGAAGTAAATAAGCACCCAGAAACGCTTCACATTCATACTATATATATATTATATATATATAATATATATATGTATATATATATACATTATATATATATATATATATTTTTTTAATGAAGTAGCTGTCTTTCGTTACTAAATTCACATTCTTGGAGTTATTGACGCTAGGCCAGGAATGAACCCACACCTTCTGTGTGGAGTTAGATCCCTTCTGTGATACATTGCTTCATTTATTTTCTGTCACTCTTTTTTCTAGCAGCGCCTATGCCCCATGAAATGATCCTACTGTTTACAACAACGGGGATCACAATACATTCTTCCTTATCCAGGCAGGTGACAAACATTCAAATCCGAGAGTGATTTATTTGCTGTCATTGAGAAGGGAAAGCAATTCAGACACACAAAGCATTTTATATTCTTCACTGGACCATTAAGTTTGAGAGGAGGGGCCATTAATTGCCTTAAAATATTACAGACTTCCAGGTAACTTCACGACACATTACGTTCATCCGTAACCTAGATGTCTGTCTCCTGTGACACCTCCTATGAGAAGTCTCATCACTTATCAGGAATTTGGCTGAAACATCTGTTGAGTCCCCAGATGGAAAGTGTTTTAGTCCTTTCATCACATTAAATATAAGCACAGATACAAACGTGGATACAAAAAGCTCTGTCCCACTGTCCTCCCCAAGAATGGCTAATGCTGCCTGCTGAGCTCATGCTTGGTGTGAAAGCTCATCTGACAAGGACACTCAGGGCAAATGCTCACCTTTTGAAGACTCCCATCTTCTGACATAAGTTGTTACACATATACTTAAATTTCCTGGGTTTCAGGTGTCCTGTGTCAGCGTGTGGTGAGAAGCGGGTGAGGTGCTGACTTACCCCCATTCTCTGAACTTCCATGAACGTGGCTCTTTGGAACGACTTCTCCCATGCGGCCAGCTCGCTGCCCAGCTCCACACTGAAGCGGTGGCTCCTCCCGTGGCCCACCATGACACTGAAGCAGCACGGCCTCTGGTCCTCTGTGTCAAAGTCGTGAAGACCCAGATACAGGTTTGCTTGCAACCAGCAGTTGTCCGCGAGCCAGACCTGAAAGACAGCATGGGTTGAAAGCACACAGAGCTGGGACGCAGAGCTGGAAACCACCGGCCGTCTACCGGAGATGGGGAGGGAGAGGCACTGGCTTTGCCCGGTGACCGTGACCTCTAGTCACATGTGTGCAGGCAAATCCAGGAGCATGTTGTCCTGCTCCCACATAGCTGGTGTGGAAATGAGCCTCACATAAATATTTACAATTGACTTATGTCTAACCCCCAAGTATCTGTAAGTGCTTTTCCCTTAAAATACTGACAATGACAACTTTTTTTCTGTTTAACTTTAAAAACAAATGTCTTAGGACTTTTGTGCTCATGTTTAGCATGAGACCAGCAAATGCTGAAAACAACAGCTTCACCTGCACCTGGGAGTCCCTGCAACATCATCAGGCTCTTCCTCGCTCTATGTTCATTGTCCTGGAATAAAATACTATCTCACACTGCCTCTGAAGCACGCAGGAGACTTAGTCCTCCAAGATGTCATTATGTTAACCCAAAGGCCTTGATGAATACAGTAAATATTGTAGAAATATGTTCAGGAGCAAAGGTCAAAGCAAGTTAACAGGCAAACAAAAAAGAACTGTCGTTCAGTTCTGGTTCATAATCCATCCAGAAGACACAAACTACAGCTCCTTGCAGACCAACCTGTAACCACTTCACAACTCTGGCCTCGGGACCCCGCGGTGCGCGGTGCAGCCTGGGGTCTGCCAAGGTCTTTTCCCTGAGCCTGTACCTGCTCATCTAGTGGTAGCCCAACGTCAGGATTCGCTCATCTCAAGGTCAGGGGTAGGACGACTGTGTTCCCAGTGGTCACCCTTGTCAGGACAACCGTGTGGAACAGGTGGAAATATGCAGAATCAGGACCTGCCTGATGTCTCTCTCTCTCTGTCGCTATTTATCTCTCTCTTTCTCTCTGTCTCTATCTCTCTCCCTCTCTATTTTTCTCTCTTATCTCTCTGTCTATATCTATCTCTTTCTCTGTCTCTCACTTTGTCTGTCTGTCTCTGTTTCTCTCTCACCTCTTTATCTTTCCATCTGTCTCTTTGTCTCTCTGTGTCTGTTTCTCTTTTCTCTCTCTGTCTGTATTATCTCTCTCGTTCCCTCTGTGTCTCTCTCTTTCTCTCTCTGTCTCTTTTTTCTCTCTGTCTTTCTGTCTCTCTCTTTGTCTCTGTCTCTGTTTCCCATCTCTCTGTCTATATTTATCTCTCTCATTCTCTCTGTCTCTCTCTCTTTGTCTTTCTGTCTCTGTGTCTCTCTCTTACCCCTCTGTCTCTGTCTATCTTTCTCTCTCTTTCTCGGTCTCTGTTTCTCTCTCTTCTCTCTCTCTCTGTGTCTCTGTTTTTCTGTCTGTCTCTCTCCACCATTTTCGTCTTCAGTTCACCTGTCCACTCAGTCACCCCATGCACAGCTCTGCACTGGGACATAGATAGCACTTCGATGTGGATTTTGCCTGCTCCAGTCTCCCCACAGTGAAGGAAAATGAGACAAGACACCTTGGTCCAGGTTTCTCAATGTCTGTGCAAAATGGGATCCACCATTTTCGTCTTCAGTTCACCCGTCCACTCAGTCATCCCATGCACAGCTCTGCACTGGGACATAGATAGCACTTCGATGTGGATTTTGCCTGCTCCAGTCTCCCCATAGTGAAGGAAAATGAGACAAGACACCTTGGTCCAGGTTTCTCAATGTCTGTGCAAAATGGGGGGTTTTCTTGCAGGTCGGCACACAGCGGCAGGAAGGAGCAGGAGCCTGCCCACGTGCTGAGTCTTCACGTTGTGATTTTGAGATAATTTAATTGACTTGTGCATCCAGCCAAGCAGGACACACCTGTTCACACTTACATTCAAAGTTTGTTCCCCAAATTCTCATGAACTCAGCAGTCAGCCAGATGGTTTTATTTGAAATGTATGCTTTCTAGGCACACGTTTGAGGGAAAAATGACACTGACTTGTCCAGGGTGGACAAGTGGATTCTCCCGGCACCTCCACTCACTCTGCTGCCTCCGAGCCGACTCTGCAGGATTTCACCTCCTGTGCCTCCTGCTCTTCACCCAGAGACTTGTACATTTACTGTCATGCATCATCTGGACACTCACCACCTATGGTGTGTGTGCGTGCGTGTGAGTGGTGTGTACATGTCCCTAACCCTAAATGAACTTCAAGCACAGAAACTGCACCTTAATTTTGGAGTCCCCCCAATCCTCCATCTCAGATTGAGACACACAGGAGTTATTCAGTAAATAGAATTACATGTCATAAACCAAGAATATCGTATCAGTCATTGACCTTAGTTTGCAGAATTATTTTTACACCTCCTGAACTTGAATGTCAAAGATTGTTAACTAAAGAAGAAGGTGTTGATACGGCAGCAAACGATGATGGAGAGGCAAATGTCCTCCTGCTGGCTGTAGTTGGAGAGTCGTGCATTGTAAGAAATGGAAAGCAGCTCCTGGAGTTAGACAGACAAGATCCGCGGCCTTTCTTGGCCTATTGTGAGCTGTTTGACCTGGAGCAGCTAACTTCTGGGCCTTGACTTTTGGACTATAAAAAGGAGCCATAACAAAAAAGGTTGTCATGGTCCTTCAATGACACACAGAGCACATGGCACGTGCATCCTCATTTTACAGATGTTCATTACCTGTTTCCACACAAACACACTTTAAGGCAAGGTTGAGCCACGCTGTACATTTAGGTTTGATGTCTAATCTTCTGCTAACTGGCTTCCTGACAAAATCAGCAATTGTATTATCTAGAACAAAATTTCCAGCTAACCCACTGCTGAGCGAACCCTCCACACACAGAATATAGAAACCATCTTGCCATTATTCACACTGTATTGAGTTTAATGCCTTTGATGTGGCAATCTCCTGGTTGATTCTATGATTTCATAACCACTTCATAGTACGTTTATTGGTTAAAAATATTTTTTACAATCTTTCTTGGAAAATGAGTCGGATAAAAAAAGAGAAGGCTCTATACTTTATTAAAGAACCACACATATAAGATAGGATTATCCTTTAAAGACACCTCTACATCGAAAGAACATCTCAGACGTAAGCAAGGTGGAAACGAAGCTGTGATGTGGTCATGAGAACCCTACATAAAACACAGAAGAAAACACAAAAAATTCTACAAAATTCTTTTGTGGAAACTTGATGAATGAAATTCTATACATATAAGCTACCAAGAGAGTCATTTTATCATAATGCTTTCCTTTTTTATCATTTTGAAAATAATGTACTCATTTTATAGATAATTTAGAAAACAGAAAAAATTTAAAAAGGAAAGCAAAGGAAGCCAGTCGAGCCGCCTCCACGACAGCTGCAGTGGACATTCCCTCCTGCTCCCTCCCCGGGGATCTGAGGGACATGCCCAGCGTCCCAGCGCACGTGCTGACTTTATTTTTTACTATTGCTCGTTATAAACTGTGACGAAGAGCCTCGATTACATTCATCAGGCCTTTTACTTCACTTTTTTGTTAATGTGCTCAACAAAAATAGAAACATGCAGAAATATACAGCCAAATGATTTTTTCAAAAATTGGAAATACATTTATTTACCATTTTGATAATATCATTATGGGAATTTCCCTTGCATGTATTTCCATTAAAGGCAGTCTAAAATTCTAGATCTAAATTTAAAATAAAGCAACTACAAATAGAGTGAAAGAATTATTTTTGAGGATATTATCAAATCAAGGAAATGAGCCAAACATTAAAACATAAGCCTTCATTCAGAACTTCTAACTTTTGATTGAGAACTCTTTACGGTAAAATTCTCAGAAAATTAAAAATGCATATTTTTTAACTTTCATTTTACATGCATTGTTTTGCTTCTTTGATTTCTATACTCCAACATGAAAAAGACAAAAGAAAAAGGTTTCTTTATATAGTACACTGATCACCTATGCTAGAAAATAGGGAGCTCTACTAACAGTCCTCACTTCACTTTGCTCTGCAGCTAGACTTCTGAGACCGGGCAGGCTGGGAGCAGGTGTGTCGTGTCCTGCTGGACCTGTGGGCTTTGGGCAGGTGTCAGAGTGGGTGACGTGCTCTGGACAAGGCTACATCAACCCCTGCCCTAAGAACGACAAACAGCAAACTGACCAGACCCTATGGGGAGTGGTGGATAGAAGATTTCCTTCATCCTGGGGAATACCCAGGAGCCACCGGGCTGATGCAGGGGGAAGATTTAATAATATACACATGTGACGTTATGGTATTCAACATTTTCATTATTTTTTTTGATAAATTTAATTTCAGTTTGATGCCTCTGTAACCCAATTGTTGGTTAAGAGTTTTTGAAACTTTCTAGGAAGTGAAGCTTATTTTGCTACAATAACATTTTTATCTGATTATTAAAATAAAATATCTTTCAGCCCAAATGTCC